TTTTTCTGACCTTCAAGTGCACCTGACACGGGTGCACTTACCTACATGCAGGCAATACACTCATACACATTAAATGAAAATATTTTTAAAAAATGGTTACCAAAAAGGTCCTTGGGGATTGAAACATACTCATTTTCAGATTTTTAACTGGTTTTATTCAGATCATTGTTCATCTTAGTATTGGCCAACGTCTAAGAGAATATTTGTATTATTTATTTTCTTGGTTCTCAGTCACCTGTCCTGTTGTCAGAATGCATCAGGTATTTTAACCGAATGCTAAACACTGCATTTTAAAAGTTACAAAGACAATGCATGTAGTAGCTCAACAGTTGTTAAATTCTCTTCCAACATGTGCAAGGAGGCAGATTACTTTTATTCTATTTGCGTATTATTTTCAGATGTTTTAAAATGATCTAGGATCCTAGGTGTGGCCCTTGAAGAGTACCGCCTTTCTGAGACTTTGGCTACAAGTCTGGACTGCTTCTAAGGTCCCTGGTTTTAGCAGGCTCTGATCCCCTATTTCTAAGCACCACTACCCTGGAAACTTCTGTTCGGTTCTTTAGACCCTCATCTTCTGCTTCTGCCAGTTTTCTTGAAATCTCATTTGCATGTAGACATATTAAAGGAAGATCACGTTTGTCTTGACTCTCATTGGTTTCTGGCCCTTCTTTCCCTGAGTTGTTTTTCAAATACCGATTGCTTTGACAGCTGCAAGCTCCAGATCTTCTAGATCACCTCAGCTCAGGAAAAATGCTTTCTACTTTCCTGTGTCTCCACTCGTGTATATTCTCCCTACCCTGGGAATTGTCAAATGTCCACAGGGAAAAACACTTGCTGTTCTTTCTTTATCTTGGAATTGTAGACCCTGGAGCTTTGACTCTATCGATTATTTCCAGCGCCTTCGTTTTTGTGTATTTTGTCCAGACTTTGCAGCCACTTTTCATGGAAGGTGCTTTCTGTTTAATTCCTCCTCCACTCAGTTGTGACCATGACTAGAAGATCTTTTCTGTTCTGTCCAAACCCCACCTACCCTCACTTCCCTCACTCTCAGATGATCTCATAGCAATATACATCAGAGACAGAAATGCCTACAGGAGCCAGTCTGAGCGTGAGTCTGAGATCTAGACCTAGTTTGCTTTGATTGCAGCAGCTCCAAATCTCTGGGACCATCCCCTGCAATCCGAAGGAAATGGTCACTTTACTAGAGTAACAGAAGAGGTTAGACCAAGACCACAAGAACACCCTTGTGCTTAGGCCTTTCTAACATAATATTGTCCGTTGTGTGAATTTTTTACAATACGAATCAAAATACAAAAATGAGACATACAGACACAGCCAAATGAATAATAGTGGCTTTTTCCTCTTCAGGACATTATCAGTCCTGTTTCTAGCACAACATAGAAAATATAGATAGAAACTGGTTGATTGTTAGTTTCATGATTTGCCATAAAACGATCTATAAATTCATTCATACTTACCATAAAGTATAAAAGGGAGATAAAGGCGCAAGAGGCAGAGGCAGGTGGATCTCTGAGATCAAGGTCAGCCTGGTCTACAACACAAGTTCCAGGCTAGATGGGGCTACAGGGAGACCCTACCTCAAAAACGGCAGGGGGAGTTAAAGCAAAGATTTGTCATGGTTTCCTTTCCATAGGAAAGATGCTATGTTCTGTTTGAGCAGGGCCAATGTATGGAAAGTTTCTAAATGTAATGTCATTACAAAAGTGAAGCAGTGATCAAATTCTGTCTAAAGAGGCATTAACAGAGCAGTATCTGTGTGCGTGTGTGTATATGTATGAATATATATGTATGTGTGTGAATGTATGTATATGTGTCTATGTGTGTGTGTATGCATATGTGTGCATATGTGTGTATGTGCATGTATGAGTGTGTATGTGTATGTGTGTGTGCATGTGTGCACATGTGTTTGGATAATCCAACACAAACTTTAAAAGGCTGTTTTAGCCACCATTTAGGTGTTCTAGAAATGAATTATACTACGCTTGGGTGGGGAAAAGGTGTCCTAGTGCACTGTAAACAAGTTTCTTCCATGTGTATTTTTACACAATAGAAGTATCAAAAAATAGGGTCAACAGACTAAATTACACTATTGTGTAGTCTGTAGTAAGCTAGATGTTCATAATATAATTATCATAGATAAACAGTTTATATCATATTGTTGCAATGCTTCTCCAGGAAAATCTTTCAGAATCCTGTTACTTTGAAATGTCTTGTAAATAAACCACCATAATATGATTATACAACAGTAAAACATTCTCTCACATTAAGTTGAAGGCATCTGTTTAATTTCTCTTTTAATTTTATTTATTATTTTTATTTTGTGTGTATGACTGTTTGGTGTGCATGTGTGTAAGTGCACCTGTGTTGTGCAATGCCCATGGAGGTAAGAAGAGGTTGTCAGATCCCCTGGAACTGGAGTTACAGATGGTGGTTAGCTGCTATGTGGATGCAGGGAATTTAACCAGGGTCCTCTGCAAGAACAGCTAGTGCTCTTAACTGTTGAGCCATCTCTCCAGCCCCCGTTTAATTTCCTTTTCTTTTTTCTCTGTTTAATTTCTTAAAGGAAAAAAATGTAGAAAGATACTTAGGAATATTACTTTCTTTTTAATTTTTTTAACCTTGCCCAATCTCAAACCCTACCTTTCTCAATGAACTTCTGTACAGCTGGAATAGCCATTTCAAAGGCATAGAATTTCATTTACAGATTTACCTTTTTATTATCAATTTCATTCTTATGGAGTTATCCACCACAAAAAAGGAAAAAACTAGGACAAAGTTGGAACTAGAAAAACAATTAGCGTTATATCCTCTGCCATGACATGTGTGTCCTTGACTGCATTCCCTCCTTCTTCATCACCTAATATGACACTTGTGTGGTCTCCTTTCTAAATGTTATACTATACCTACACCTACAGCTGTTAGCATATATACATGTATATATTATTACACTTATTATGGACAACGATCCACATATGGGGGAGACTATGCAGTTTCGTCTTTGTGAGTTTTGATCACCTTGCTTCACATCTTATTTTCCAGATATGCCCATTTTCCTATAAATTCCATGATTTCATTTTTCTTTGCAGCTGCATAATATTCTGTTTTTATATATGAGATTTTCATTATCCATTCATCTGCTGGTGGACATCTAGGCTGGTTCCATTTCCTGCTCTCACAGAGCAGCAATAAACATGGACGTGCACACATCTATAAGGTAGGAGATGGAGTTCTCAAGCAAGGGAATAATATGGTCAGTTGCATGGTCATTCTAGTTCTAATGTTTGAGGAAACTCAAAACTAATTTCTATAATGGCTGTATTAATTTACACTCCCACAATCAGTGAATAAGATTTTCTCTTTCCTCATATCCTCTCCAACATTGATTGTCAGATTTCTTGATGACTATCAATCTGATTGAGATGATGTGGTGTCTTAAAGTAGTTTTAATTTGCATTTCCCTGATGACTAGAGATGTCGAACATTTTTAAAAGTAGTTATTGGTCTTTTGAGTGTTTTCTTTGGAAAGCTGTCTATTGATTTCATTCACCCATTTGCTGACTGGCAGTTTTATTTCCTTGATATTTAATTTCTGCAGTTCTTCATAAGTTCTGGATATTAACCCCCTGCCTAAGTATACTGGGAAAAATTTTCTCCCACCTTGTGGGCCGTTTGCTCTGCTGATGGTCTCTTCTGTGGAGCAGAAGCTTTTTGGTTTCGTGTAGTCCCATTTGTTGATACTTGGGGCTAGTTGCTGTGCTATTAAACTTCTATTCATAAGTTCTTGCCTGCTCCATTGTCTTGAAAAGTATTTCCTGTTTTCTTCTAGAACTTTCAGCATTTCAGGTTTTTAATTAAGGTGTTTGATCCATTTCAAGCTGACATTTTTACAAGGTGAAAGCTATAGATTCCATTCCTCTGCAGGTAGATAGAGATCCTACCTCCCAAATGCCAGCACCACCTTTTTCTGCCGCATATTTTTGCCCTGTTGTCAAAAACTCGGTGGCCATAGTTTTGTCAGATTATTTCAGGGTCCTCCGTCCTGTTTCATTTGTCTACTTGTCTGCTTTTATGCTAATACCAGGCTGTCTTTATCACCATAGTTCAGTACTGTAATTTGAGGTTAAATATTGGGATACTTCCAACTGTTTTCTTACTCCTTAGGGTCTTTAGTTATTCGTGGTCTGAGCTATAGCAACTATAGTGATGTGAATGCTCAGATATTTTTCCTAGATCTGTGATATATGACAGAATATCAGTGGGTATTACTTTAAACCTATAATAG